GCTGAACCAGGGATGTAACTGAGACCTTTGCTCATTAAAAATGCTTTTTCATGTCCAAGTTTTGGGGGTGTTAACCCACAAGTGCAGTGTAACAACAACACTTCCTTGTACAGAGGGGATATTCAAAACAGTAAGCTCTTTCTGATGGGTCAGCTCTGCTGGCCCTGCAGTCATTTCTACCAGTGATGCAGCATTATATAGCAATCATGTAGTTCTAGTCTCCAGCAGAGCTGCTTATTTGACTGAAAAATAACATATGATGTCTAAATATTTCCCCATATTCTCAGTGTTACAATATGAATGCTAAGTTTCAAATGAATTAGACTTATTAAGAGGCCAAATTCTGCTGAACAATTTACCAAGATAATTTTCACTGATGTCACTGAGTTTAGATGAGACCTTTCATTTTCTATGTGTTCCCTCTCCTCCATTTTTCCCTGACAAAAGCTGTATTTCCAATGTGTTCCTCCTTCACTGGGGCAATGCCCCCTTCCCTGACCTCTCTCATATGTCCCACGGTATTTGCAAGGCTCATGGGTGGGAATGGTGTTAAAATGGTGGGCTTGGAGGTACTCATACCTGACGTGGCTAATTTAGGTCCTCAAATTAGTAAGCAAGGTGACATGTAATGTCAGTGGAGGAGGACTACTTCTTTACAAAGAACTTTAACCTGAACATGCACAAGTCTATGGGACCTGACAAAATACATCCCAGAGTCCTGAGGGAATTGGCTGATGTAGTTGCCAAACCACTCTCCATGGAATCTGAAAAGTCATGGCAGTCAGGTGAAGTCCCCAGTGACTGGAAAAATGAAAACATTGCACCCATTATGAAAAAAGGTAGCAAGGAGGACCCTGGGAACTACCAACCCATCAGCCTCACCTCTGTGCCTGGGAAGATCATGGAACAGACCCTCCTGGAAGCTATGCTAAGGCACATGGAGGACAGGGAGGTGATTCGAGACAGCCAACATGGCTTCACCAAGGGCAAGTCCTGCCTGACCGACGCAGTGGCCTTCTGTGGTGGAGTGACTACATCAGTGGACAAGGGAAGAGCTACAGATGTCATCTGTCTGGACTTCTGTAAGGCCTTTGCCATGACCCCCCAAACATCCTTCTCTCTAAATTGGAGAGAGATGGATTTGATAGGTGGACTGTTGAGTGAATGAGGAATTGAAATCTGTCTGGACTTCTGTAAGGCCTTTGCCATGACCCCCCAAACATCCTTCTCTCTAAATTGGAGAGAGATGGATTTGATAGGTGGACTGTTGAGTGAATGAGGAATTGAATGGATGGTTGCATCCAGAAGGCAGTGGTCAATAGCTCAATGTCCAGATGGAGTTTGGTGACGAGTGGTGTCCCTCAGGGGTCTGTATTGGGACCAGTACAGTTTAATGTCTTCATCAACGACATAGACAGTGGGATCAAGTGCACCCTCAGCAAGTTTGCAGATGACACCAAGCTGAGTGGTGCGGTTGACACGCCAGAGGGACGGGATGCCATCCAGAGGGACCTGGGACAAGCTCGAGGAATGTGCCCTTGTGAACCTCATGAGGTTCAACAAGGCCAAGTGCAGGGTCCTGCATCTGGGACATGGCTACCCCCAGTATTAGTACAGGCTGGGGGGTGAAGGGATTGAGAGCAGCCCTGCCGAGAAGGACTTGGGGGTACTGGTGGATGAAAAGCTGGACAGGAGCCGGCAATGTGCGCTCGCAGCCCAGAAGGCCAGCCGTATCCTGGGCTGCATCCAAAGCAGTGTGGCTTTGGATGTGCAGCAGGTTGAGGGAGGGGATTCTGCCCCTCTACTCTGCTCTGCTGAGACCCTACATGGAGTCCTGCGTCCAGCTCTGGAGCCCTCAGCACAGAAAGACATGGTCATGTTGGAGTGGGTCCAGAGGAGGGCCATGAAAGTGACCAGAGGTATGGAACACCTCTCCTGTGAGAACAGGCTGAGAGAGTTGGGGTTGTTCAGCCCGGAGAAGAAAAAGGCTCTGGGGAGACCTTATTGCAGCCTTCCAGTACTTGAAGGGGGCTTATATAGGAAAGATGGGGACAAACTTTTTAGCAGATCCTGTAGCGATAGGACAAGGGCTAATGGTTTTAAACTGAAAGAGGGGAAATTTAGACCAGATATAAGGAGGCAATTTTTCACAATGAGGGTGGTGAAACACTGACACAGGTTTCCCAGGGAGGTGGTAGATGCTCCATCCCTGGCAACATTCAAGGTCAGGTTGGATGGGGCTCTGAGCAACCAGGTCTAGTTGAAAATGTCCCTGCTGGTTGCTGGCAGGTTGGACTAGATGGCCTTTAAAGGTCCCTTCCAACCCAAACCATTCTATGGTTCTGTGATTCTGTGAACCAGAGCAGAACCCAAGTGTTCACCACCTGATTTGTGCACCTACATGTCTAAAGCCAGGTGGTGGCAATACTCCCACAAAGTGTAAATTTTCATAGAGATTCTCTGTTTTGTTTAGCTGTTTGGTTACCTACTCTCATTTTCATGCTCCCTTGTCTACTGTAGCTCCTCTGCCAATCTCCATCTTTGTCCATTCTCCATCCTTGCTCATTTTCTGATATCTCTCTTCTGCAAAATGCAATTTAACTTTCATATTAGCATTTGTTTTCAGCAGCCAATTCACTATTCAAGTGCCTGGGCACTTAAATATCTGCCAAAATTGCTTGATTCAAATTTCTCTGGATGAGCTCTCAGTATTCAAAAGTAGAAATATACTCAGTTAAAAGTAAATAAAAAATTAGTGCCTTACTCCCAACTTCCTCTTTTCTTTTATGTGAGTGTGTGTGGTTTGTCTTCCTATGCTTCTTGTTTGTCTCTCATTCCTTTCTGTCATCTTTTCACCTTCCCAGCAGATTCTTCCTTTCAGTCTGTTATATTTCTTTAATTTCTTTCACATTTTTGTGAACTTCAGAGAGAAGTTCTTCTGGCTTTTTTTGTTTTTGTTTTTGTTTGGTTTTTTGATGATCTTATCTACAGGCTTCCTCCTTCTCCTAGTTTTTTCTTCAGTGAAAGAAAAATATTTTTATTTCTTTTTTCTATATTAAAAAGGCAGAGCAAGAGCTCTTTTCTGTTGTATAAATAAATACTAATTATACTGACGTAAGGAAAGCTAACTTCCTAGTACAGCAGTAAAGCCACTTCTTTTCTTTGTGTTTAATTTCTTGTTCTGAATAAAACCAGGATTTCAAGCAAAGATTTGCATAAGAAGTTCATTGCAAGGAATCACTGTTTTTCAAGTAAAACCTCATATTTTTTCATGTATCTCTGGTTTGAATCTAGGATTATTGGGATTCTTTTTCCTGACCCACACATTAATTACTAATTTTGCCAACAAATGGCTCCATAACTCAAGGTAAATATTTTTTTTTTCTTGAAAAAATCCAGTGAGAATAAATTTTCTATATATAATCTTTTAAAACTCAAGGAAAGTAGGTAGAGGAACATGTCTGGCCTACTGATC